CTTTCTGTAATTATGACTGTTAACCCTCGAAGAGGAGCATAGGCGATCCACCAGCACTCTTCATTTAACATTGTCCTGGGAAATCCTATCCATTTACTCCAATTTGCTATTCATCCTTTTCATATCTGCCTCGACATAATGTGTTCTTTTATTTTCCTCTTTTCCGTTTCCCTTCAGGATTCCAAGTTAGTGCTTCCTTTGTGATGCAGTTATTTCAATTTCGACATTTCATCGTGTCTTGTTTATTTGTTTTAATGAACAGAGATAATTATATCAATATAGTGGAGATTATTCTGCATTATTCATTAGATTTCTCAGGTGACCGCTTGAAGAACGATATGAACTAGACAGCAGAAAGATTAGGTCAATCATGTGTGTAAACAGTTTGAGATATACATTCCGTTTCACTCAAAATATAGAAACAGTTGAAGTCTCTGAGAAATTCATCATTTGATTTAATGTATCAACATAAGTTACTACATCTCTTTGAGAGGAAATGGTAGAAATCATAAGTGAACGCTATGTCCTAATTGCATTACAAAATGATGAGTCAGTCAACCTCTACTGATATTCAAATTCAATTTATCGTCATCTTTCATTGTCAAATTGATAGAGTGTTCATGAGCAGACCAGTATATTCAATTCTGGCATTTGAGTTTATGGGATATACAGAACAGACAGTTGTATGTCACTTATGTGGATGATACATCTGTCGCTTGTAATATTTAACAATTTACTTCTCATATAATGAAACTTCAGATTAGAGGATAACTGATTATCATCTCCACAATTGAACATGTTTATTTTACTTCACTCAATCCAAAATGAGAAATTTGTTTGTGATTTATGATTCATTCAAACACAATATTCACAATGATTTCATTGTAAAACAATATGGACTTTGAACGAATCATAGAGACCAGTATTTTGATCCATCAATAAACAGTATGCTTGTATTCATCTTATCACAAGAAAAACAAAGCAAATATTTAGTGTCTAACAGATTTCGATCATATTCGGTCAAACTTAAAACAGAACGATTTCATCAGTTGAGTGAATTAACGTACTCTTACTCTTATCTTAACTTATCTGTTGCTTCCATCTCACGATCACACTTCGATCTGTTTAGTTCAACTTCACAGATACTTAAGTGTATGTCATAGTGTTTGATTAATGAGTGGACAAACACTTATTCGCATTATCATAGACAGGTGAAATACAATCTAGCAGTTCATTCAAATACAGCAATATAGTGATTTAAAGCAATTTGACTATTTGTAGAAATCACGATTCATATTATTCACTGTGTTCACAATACAGTTTTCTACTTGATTAACTTCTACAACGAAACAGTGAGGTTCGGAACAACATTCATCCATACAGTTCATACATTATCATACGCATAGATACGATAATCGGATCTAGTCACTAAATTGTTTTGGCAAACCTGATTCTTTTCCATTCACATTCTCTCTATTCAATGAAGGAAGTGAGACGTCGTTATTTATGAACGCGTGACCATGATAATACAGATATTCTTCTTTTCAAGTGTATTGATTAGAGAGAGAAGGTTTCAGTATTCGTTTCAATATTATACCATTTGATTTCATTATGGAAGTTTCAGTTCCATCTCATTCCTCAATCAAGTCAATCCGGTTTATGATTTTCACTAATTTTCAGTGTTGTGTACGACTATATGTCTGCTTGAATGATAAACAACACTTCACAACATTCTTGTACGCAATCTCTTTAAATAAACACTTGTGGAAACCGGTTTCACACCTCTATCCTCAAACATTTCAAAATATACCTCCAATTATCAATGTAGGTTCAATCGGTTATTTGAACTTCTCCAACTCAACGTAAGAAATGTAATGTTCAATTCTCAGTGATACTGTGAACATACACATACTTGAGAATACATGTTATAGTGAATAACACACACTCCCATACTATAACGCACACACACTTAGATCTAATCATCTAATTATCATCTTTAATAATCGAATATATAAACATTCCAATTCAAAAACAATAACTCACATCGAATTCCAATGATCGATTCTTTCACGTTCAATAATGATCAGCTCATTAGTAATGATCACACAATGTTGTAATCAATTAGTGAAGTTATAGCCTGAGATAAATCAGTTTGTCAATTCAAGGAAAGTGTATATTATTCAATGTGTTTATGTTATCACTAATCATTCTCAGTAGATATATCAAACTAAATAGGGTTGGAAATAATTGTGGATCGACTAAACAATAGGAAGTGGATATGTGACTGAAATGTGTCTTCCCTTGATTAGTGTAAAACATTTCGACCAGTATCTTTGTCATAAGCACAACATTACTGGAGTTACACATAAAAATTATCTGAAGAATCTTCTACCCATTTATATTGGATACAGTGGTTTCATAGGTTTCGTCATTTATACTAAACATTTTTGTTTCAATGAAGTTAGTTGAATGTTCTCGATCAACCACGTTGATCACTTGCAACAACTCTGCATCTGACATTTCTCTGTCAAGCTGTATAAATCCAGATGAGTAATGTCACATCACTCAGCAACTATATACTTCCAAAAATATTGTTCCTTCCACAAGTCACCAACATCTCACATGTTGCTCATTCAGATTCAATGTTTGATATAACATCGAATCACCATCGTCTGATTGTGTAATATCAAGTCATCTTCACGATTATCTATCATTCTATTGAACACCATCTGAAAATGTTCGTTCGACTGTCGATGAAACAGAGTAAATAATTAGGTTGGTGAAATCAAAGACAACCAAAGTATTGTCATGTGAATATACTGTGAATTCGTAAACAACCACAGTTGAGAAAATCATGTTCTGAAAGTGAATTTGTGGTGTCTAGTTCCATGTCAATCCTACAAGTGTTATTCAGGATTCCATATTGACCAACTCCTTTATTTGTCGTAACTCACATTGTGACCTTGTCAACTATACGCTAATTCATATTCAGTGTTTTTATATCAGTGTATGTTTGAGTGTATCACATCCACCATCCACCATAAGCACTTGTGTCTAGCTTATTTTCGTTTGGCTACAAATAGTGGGTCACTCTTTATCACATGGAATTAACACAATCGCCTTCTCGAATCTCCCTCTCCCCCTTCGTTTATCTTATTCCGTTTCGCTACCAATATTCGTTCTCATATTTCACTCACTTTACGCAGTTATTCTTTAATGCAAACTAAGTCAACAATTGGAATCAGTGGTAGGCGGAATGCATATTTCGTAAACGTCATCATATCATCAAATCGGAGTCCACACATTATTCACAGTCATCAATATTTTGCTTCATAACATCAGTCCAACATTCTATTGAGCATGTTTTGCATTCTACGAAAACATGCTCACATATAATAAATTGTTAGTGCTATTCACATTTCAATTTCACATTTCAGTTCGCCAACCAGTCTACACGATACAAATCAAAATATCAAATACTATTCCGTTATGCTCCTTCCTATACAACTTGATATGAATGAATTCTCTCATTGAATACAATATCAGTTTGACTGGAATTACATTGCATGGTTGTTTTCACAGGTTTCCGTTTCCAATGTACGTTAACGTTTTGTTTCCAGGCATGTGTGTTTTTGTGTTTGAACTTGATGGAGAAAGATAGAGAGATAGATAGAGATGAAGAGGGATTACCGGAGTTGCAGTTTGAATGATACTTCCGTTCTATTCATCCGAACGTCTCTCTAAATATCTATCTATCTGTTTATCTACCTTGCCTGTGATAATGTTATTGATAGAATATACAGACGGTAACAAACAGGATGAATTGATTTCCGGTTTATTGAATTACCTATTTCAATCAATTCATTTGAAAATCTGAATTTGAATAGCTGTGTGGTATGTATATTGAATGAAATATAATGTGATCAGATCACTCACTCAAAGAGACTAAATCTCCTCTCTTGTTCATGCGTATTTAAATGATGGATCAGAAATTTGTGATGATGCGAATTTTGATCGTACTAATCAAAACATTATTCAAATCACTAGATTCATATAAGTAAGATTTTCACCAGTGTTGACAAATCCTCGGATGAATAGTAGTGGAGATACTGAGCACAATTGGAGAACTCATTTCAGAGTGATCAGTTGTTACTTTCGCAATATGTTTCTACAAGCGTGAGCATATCTACGAACAAGCAAAATTCAAGTCGAACAACACGTTCCAACAAACATCTGTAACAGGAACTGAACATATTTCATCAGTGATAACATCACAACACACTGTAGTTTGTCTCAGATTACTAAAACGTATCAACTCAACACTCAACATCGTTGTCCACATTCCACTGATGATTACTCACCAAAATATTCAACAACACAATAGGAATACTGAATTATCATTGTTTTAATTTACACTCATCCTACTAACATCAGTTTCACTAACACGATTGTTAGATGGCAAATCCATGTGAAGAATATATGATGATCTGAAAATGAAATGGTGGAGGTTTGCAACTCTCACGTTACATTCTGGTTTGTGAAAGTGTTTGAACACTTCAGAAGGTGTGGCAATTCGACTAATAAATGAATCTATTGAATAATGGATTAGCAAAATACATCAGACATACCATAAGTTGTATAAAGAAATATTACAATAAACAAAAATAAACTAGTAATGTGTTTTCCAGTCAACAGTTGACGTTTAATGCACAGTCACAAATAAGATTCAGATCGATTCCTAAATCGATTCGAGTGAACTATCCAACTAACAATTACCACAATTCCTTTATTCTCCTACAATCTATGAAACAGTTAGTGCAAACTGTATTTCTATCAATTGAAACACCAACAATAAAACACATTCACATTGATTATGGTGACTAGGAGAGAATGAACATCTTATGTCTAATATCTAATTTGAAACAGCTGTTATTCTTATCAATGTCTATAAATAGTTGATCATTATTATTATGTAGAGGAGTGAATATGCGAGTGTGCAAATGTGTTTCACATTAACCAATTCACAGTTTGTGTCATCATCATCATCATCATCATCATCATCATCATCATCATCATCATCATCATCATCATCATCATCATCATCATCATCATCATCATCATCATCATCATCATCATCATCATCATCATCATCATCATCATCATCATCATCATCATCATCATCATCATCATCATCATCATCATCATCATCATCATCATCATCATCATCATCATCATCATCATCATCATCATCATCATCATCATCATCATCATCATCATCATCATCATCATCATCATCATCATCATCATCATCATCATCATCATCATCATCATCATCATCATCATCATCATCATAAACAACACTGTGGTGTTGTTGTCGGTGGTTATGGTGTTGGTGGTGATAATACCATGACCATGATTAAATGTGTCGATATTCGGTTCAGTATTCATTGAACAGGAGACTATAACTTGTAGTAAGTGAAATACAACTGGTATTTGTACATTAGGTCGACAACTGGCAATTCACAGTAGTACATATAACAAAGTGGTTCATATGATAATAACCATGTAGTTAGTCAATCGAGAGGTGAAAGACTGGACAACAACTGTTTTAATCCATTGATTGATTAAACTACATTTTACTGTTCAAAGAGAAATAAGAGATTCGACACAGGAGCGTAGTGTATTTAATTACACATTCAACATTACTTTTTATATCACTGGCTATGATCAGTTACACAATTTGTATATGAAAACATGAGAGTGATGAGAATGCTCCGAAGTTGTACAAACGTAGAATGACACTAATTTCAGATTGATTTTCATAACAACAAATTCCCTAACACGGAAACTACATGTGTCCTCATCATTTGATAAAATCAGAAGAGCAGTGAACGTTAATTAATATTCCGAATGATCCCGTCATTCATCTGAAATATGTCAGTCAACATGAAAATATTTGATGGTGATCAGTTGTGATACCATATCACGATGGATTCACTGATAGTGAATTACCATCTTAACAGTCATTAACATCTGTCGTTTTCCTTCAGATTCCCAAAGTTGAAGATTTGTGAAGACGTGAAAAATGACAAATAAGTCAGCATAATCCATGTTCCGTTGAGACCATTTACAATCAATTGATTGGATCTGCTAATTGATAGTTGACAGATTTCGCATTAAAAATATTTCACTCTCTTGACCAGAACAACAATATCTGATAGAAATACATTTCAATTCCACCTGAAGAAAAACATATATCCATCATGAACAAAGCACGATACTACATTCTCATCATTGTCCTTCTCACTTAACAGAAACACACATTCAATATTACAGAATACAAAATTAAACAAAGGCAATAGTGAATTACATTTTTGAAATTCACCATCAATATTCCTGAGGGAGGTTTGAATTTCCCTGACAAAATATCAATCGATCAACGCAATGACACTGTTCATAATGAGTGTGAGTGATAGGGATGAGGAATGAATTGGGTGGAGAGAGTGACAGAGTATGGAAAAGAAACAAAATGAATAAAACTGATTGATAAGAATTAACATGTTGACAAGATAACCATTTCATCTAAACAGTTACATGTTGTATGTGTTTACATATAGATTGGTACCAATCAATCAATCGAATCAACATGGGAATCGGTAGAATTTTGAAGATAGAATATTTTACACTAATGTGAATTTCACATTGACACACTGAAAAGAAATGTGTGATAAACTACTAATGATGTTACCGACTTACTTAGTTACTTACTTGCTTACGCCAGTTACATCTCATGGACAAACATAGGACAGCCACAAGTATTCGACAATTGAGTCTGTATTAGGTTCCCTCTTCCAGTTGTTCATAATAGTTGACTGTCTTCACCTGCATTTGTTGATGTACATGTGGTGGGTGAGCTTGGTCATCTATGAAGTCCAAATTCTGTAGTTGATTCCGAGCTGTCCATTGTATTCCGTGCTTCCTCTAAGATATGGGGTCTTCATAATCCAGTCAATCACCAGAAGAAAGAGGAAAGTAGAGAATATGATTTCTTTTCAAACATCTGTCTTCACTTCGAGTGCATCTACTAACTGTGATGACTTTCATTCAATTAATTTTTCAACAATGGTCAGTAGTGTCGCCGGTTGGTCAGTTCAAAAGCTATCCTAATGGAATTCACAGTGATGACCTTGAGGTTGAACGTCTGTGTGTGCTGTTTTAATGTCTGATGGATCCAGTGTAGTTGGTCCATTCAAGGATACTTCAATGTGTTCTACACACCTGTTCCTCCTTTCTTCAACCACAATGATTGTCTTGCCTTCTTCATCCTTCACCAGTCTCTTTGGTTTACTATATTTCCCTGTCAGTTTCTTTTTTGTGTCATGTAGTTCACTGCATTTTCTTCTCTTACAGTTTTCACCATTGTCATTGTTAAGTCTTCCACATATTCCCGATTGTCAGCTTCAATGCTCTTCTTCACTTAATTGTTTGATTCTTTGTACTCGATCTGTGCCTTGACATTTTCTCATCCTGTTTGGCTGTTGTTAATTACTGTCTTCCTTTTCTTATTTCCTTCAATCTTTCTCAATGTTTATATAGAGATCCACTCCTTGAAATGATGTTTCTTGAGACCCACAACATCCTGACATTTTGAATCTAGTGATTCTTCGATTCTTTTCCAAGTTGTCCTCCATAGTGATTTCTTCTTCCTTTAGTAGATCTTCTTAGGCTTGGAACATGTTGTTGAAAGTTATCTTGAATTCATTCAGTTCGTCAGTATGTCGAATGCAGGCCACGACCAGAGTATAACATCTCTCCACAACCTAATCTTGTCTATTCAGCATTATTTCAACAGATTTCATTTATACTGAGAACCGTCATCTTGTATCTGCTCATTTTTACATCTACTTGACTGATCATCCCAGTCACACACATTGTTCGGTCATTCCACCTACCTTCGCAGACTGTTGATCCACTTGTCACATGTTGCATCGGCATCGTGATGCTCTAATAATCTCGGCCTTCTCAATGAAACCTCATAATTATTCTGAATGCAGTTTCTCCAAATCGCACAAAACAGTTGGTGTGGTTCCAACATTATTTTCCGAATTTCATTCTTTTTATGAGAAGGTTGTATCCTTGGGATTCGGTTGATGACACCATGTCTAACCCTTTTTACTTATCCGCATTCAGAATAGACACTAACTACAGAACACCTACAGATTCGGTTATCCAACTCACTCGATATTAAATCTCGTATTTAGCAGGTTGAACAATCACAATAAGTTGTACATATTGAGAAAAGACTCGTTCTCTATGTCAAACAAAATTGATGAATAATCACGTTCCAAATCAAATGCCATGTCAAACAATGGCAGTTAATCGAAAATGAAAACAGTTCATTCATTATAACTTATAGTCTGTTAGCGAAATCTACCACTGGTTAACGAACTATGTGTACAGTGAAACAGTACGACCTTTCTGAATGATTTCAAATTGATACCAAGACAAACAATTAACCTGTGCGACTTGTATAAAAACATCCAGAATTCAACATCAAACCACAGTTCGACAGTCAAATAGTGTAGTAAACTAGCATGTGTGACAACATTATTCAACACAATAAACAAGTATCGAGTACATGATGTTCTGATGTGATCACAGATGAAGTTCAATAACTGAACATTTGATATTTGATGTCGATGAATTATGATAAATGATTACGAACAGATTTGAAATATGTGTTATGTAATCTAAATTTAAATAAGCCGAAATCTGAAACTCTTCCTCGTTCATGGGTATTCACATTCACTTATATACAAACATGATTCACATACACAACAGCTGACTACTGTTACTAACAAACTCAGATTTGTAATATGATCAACAGTGTGGATATGTCTTACTATTCTGAATGTATTGATGAACAGAGGGACGAATACGATGAAGGAATGATTGTTCCACAATAACATCTTTTACTAGTCTCATTTTACAAGCATATCTTCATTATCGTATAGTGAAATGTGGACGATTGTAATGATACAGGAATTCATGCAGTTAGTGTTTAAAGCGTTTTGTTAGTGATTTAGTTTTCAACGGAAAGGGGTATTTAACCGCATGCCCATCTCTCCTCGTTTATCCTGGCTTGGGACCGAAAGTAACTCGATAGGAGCTCCAGGCGTTGTTACAGGAAGTCATGTTAATACACATACTAAAATATCATCATTTCCCTTTATCAATATTGCTATTAATATTATGTGTACAACCATAATATTTATGCAACCAAGAGAATGTCATCCATTGCATTCAATGAATGTCCATTTAGTGTTTAATTTATTATGATGATTATGATTATTAATGTTTATATAAAACAACCGGAAACAATTATGCATCAGTAATTGTGAAGATGATAATGATATCACAGTAGAATAGATTGAATACTTCCATGTGCATGAAGTTATGTAGTTGAATAAATACTTAGGTTCAGCAAAAGTTAACTTAATAGAAATGGTTTTATTTGAATATACTACTCATCTTTACCACTGATGTGTTCCTACCAATTTGGGCTTCATGTAAATAGTATCTCAAATGATGATAAAGTAACTAAACCTGATCTGTTGTGATTTTATTCCCGGCTTTTATGACATGATTTATTAACCAATCAAAATACGACTTATCCAATCCTTGCACTGTCAGTGTATGACATGGTGTCGTCGCATGAAAGAGAGCTGCAAAGGGCTAGCTTCCGTTGGTCCTTCACGACTCCCTGGTTGGGGTCCGAGAGATAGTGCAACACAGTGGCTAGAGACGTTATCAGATATGGCTCAGAATAGAAGCCAGTGGCGATCCTGCTGTAACCTTCTTTTACTTTCTACATAAAGAATGGTTCTAACTTTCCTAACTGAAAGAGTCTTCTGGTTGTACATTTCAGCCCGCCTTATCTTTTCATCCCTTCTCTTCCTACTTTCATTATTTTGTGTGGCGCATATGTACCTGGTGCCCTTTTGTACCAATATATATGTGTTTAAATAAATAAATAAATAAATAAATAATCCTTGCACTGTGCCGAATCAATGACGTTCGACTGGTATGATCAGCCTAGCGTCTTCATTACTCCTCAGTCCACTTAGGCATCCCAGTTTACTCCACAACAATAATAACAGCCCCGATTATGGAAATCCTTTAGTTCATACATACTAGGTCCATATATCAACCAAACAGACCGCATCACAGCATAAAATTGGAAACAACATTGATACACAAAAAAGTCAAAAAGTGTCTGTGAACGTGGAAGACAGTAATCAATAAACTGAATATAATTTAGGAACAGTAAATCGTATACTAATAATCTATAAGT